CTCTCTATTTTTCGAGAAGTCTCGTTGTATGGTGTCTTGTCCCCTCAACTTTATTTCACTTTGTGGTAATGGATTTGTAGAAATTTTGTCATCCGATTCACATTTGGGATGAATAGTACCCAAATACTTGTTTTCTACTTGGAGATTTCGTGGAGATAACATGAATCTGTGAATTTTGGAGGTGTGATAACTCTTAAATTTCGCTGATTATCTCACTAATCTTCATTTGAGGACTTTGGTGATGGATCAGAGTTATTACATCTACATTTTTGACATCTGTATCTTTTCCTGTTTAACTCCTCAAAGCTTTATATGTTGAGGTGTATTATGTTTAAGTAGAGGTGATTTCTATGTGAGACTTAAAAAATGTGGATATTCATTTAGTTTTTCTTCTGTATCACGATATCGAAAAAGTCTCAGAAAAATTGGATTCCTATTAACTTATCTGGCAATTAGCGGTACCATCAGCACCATTAGGAAAAATCGGGAGATGCTCCAAAACCTATTTCCAAACTAAAACCACATCCCATAAAGGACGAGAGGAACCGATTGAAACGACAAAAGTTTATAAAAAGGTACGTATTTTAACTTTTAAAAATTCCAGTGAAAGAGAGTTGGTCAAAGTAAAAACCCTGGAGATAACCTGAGTCGAACTGTAACACAGAAGCTACCAGATGACAAAGATCTGTTATCTCATGCTAGGAATTACGACTGCTGTGACGCCGAACATGGTGTTAGCGTCATCGCAAAGTTGACCGGTAGTTTCCACGAGACTGAGCTAGTGAACCCGAGCTGCAACAGGCCCTATTCTCTGAATAGGCAAATGTGTAGAAGTTAACATCAACGTGGTGCAGGAGTCTCTGCACAAGCCTCCGTCACTGTAGACTTAACCACCATGAAATCTCAGGTAGATAATGACCAGTTACCACCGAAGTCAGGTGACGAGGAAGAGGAGACAGATTACTAGAGTCTGGCTTCTCGCCTTTCATAGGAGACGAAACAAGATAATCGTATATGACGTATCGTCCCTGACAAGAGGGAGGGGAGTGACATATGAGATTATTTTTTTAATGTTTTTCGTACTTTCTTGTTTTGTATTCATATTCATTTTGATTCTGTGGTTTTTTATGGGCACTTTTATTTCGATTATTATAATTTTACTGACTTCATTGTGTTTTTTTCACTTTCTTTGATATTGTGTGAGGTATTTTTGTTTATGTGTTAATTTGCGTGCTGTTAATATTTCGCAGTATGTATTTTCTAATTAATATAACTTTTTTTTAAAGTGACAGTGTAATTTTTCCATGTTTTTTCCTTTCATGTGTGTTTATTTTAATATTCACATTTACTTTTCTTGCTAACTGTTTGAGTTTTCCTCATGTTGTCAAACGTTAATGATTCTGCTACTGATCGAATTTCGTAAGAATATCCTGCGGGAACAATGAATCTGCTATTCTAAGCACACAAATATCTAATATCTAGTTAATAACCATACTCGCATTACAAATCGTTGGTAAACCATATTAATTTGTGATTATGTCAAACCCCCTGACGAGAACAGAAGTCTTGAAGGCAATCAAGATGCTAAAAGCTGGAAAAGCAGCAGGACCAGATGGAATCCCAAAAGAGGCATTGAAAACGGACCCAGAGACAACAGCAGACTTGATGACACCATTACTGGAGAAGATGTGGAAAGGGGGCAAGGTGCCCGAGGATTGAAAGAAAGGCTACTTAATCAAACTGCCAAAGAAAGGAGACCTAAGTCAATGCAAGAACTGGCGCGGAATTATGCTCCTGTCCATCCCAAGCAAAATAATAAGCCGCATCATCCTGGAGAGAATCAAACATGCCCTAGATGAAAAACTTTGACCGGAACAGGCTGGATTCAGGAGAAACAAGTCATGTATTGATCAAATCGCCACACAACGGATCATCATTGAACAAAGTTTGGAATGGCAGTCACCTCTCTATCTCAACTTCATCGACTTTGAAAAGGCCTTCGACAGCGTCGATCGACAGGTGATTAGGAAACTACTTCACTACTACGGGGTGACGCTGACAATCATACATATCATCCAACAGTTGTACGACAATGCTGCATGCCAAGTAATCCACAACGGGAAACTTACGGAAACCTTCGAAGTGAGGACAGGAGTAAGACAAGGCTGCCTACTATCGCCAATGATTTTCTTGATTGCAGTAGACTGGGTAATGCGACAGACAGCGGGCAACGAGGAAACAGGCATAAAATGGACCCACACAAAAAACATGAAGGATCTGGAATTGCCGATGATATATGTCTGATTTCCCATAAACTGGAAGATATGCAAGTGAAAAGCAACAAGTTGACGGTAGAAGAAACATCAAAGATAGGACTTCAGGTGAACATAGAGAAAACAGAGGTGATGAAGATTCCTGGGCAACAACAACACAACAACGGACAACAATCAACATAAATGGAAGGAACCTGAAAGAAACAACCTCCTTTACCTACCTGGGAAGCATTGTTTCAACTACAGGCGGAACTGATGAGGATATCAATGTAAGGATCAAAAAGGCAAGAAAAGCTTTCATTACTCTCAAGTCTATGTGGAGGTCAACAGCACTCAGCATGAAAAATAAGATCCGGATTTTCAACTCAAATGTGAAGTCAATGCTATTATACAGATCAGAAACTTGGCCAGCGCGTCATAAAGAGCACCTCAAACAAACTACAGACCTTCATTAACAGTTGTCTTCGCTCAATACTCAAGATCAGATGGTCAGAAAAGATCAGCAACAGGGATCTCTGGGAGCAAACCAACCAGTTGTGCAACAAATCTGCATGAAGAAATGGAGATGGATTGGCCATACTCTGAGGAAACCATCAAGTGACATCACTAGACAAGCCACTGCTCGAGTGGAACCCGAAAGGGAAGCGGCGAGTTGGTCGTCAGTGCAAGGGTGACTTGGAGGAGGTCATGTGAAGAGGAGATGAAAACGTGTGGGCACACTTGGAGTCAGGTGAAAACTCTAGCAGAGAACCGAACGCAATGGAGACGCACGGCTGAAGCCCTATGTTCCTCGAGGGATTAAAGGAAAAAAATAATGTCAAATTCAATATTCCTTTCCTTTTTGTTATCACGAAACCTGAGCTTTTACCTGAAGAACTCGACTTTATCCAATGGGTTTCTTATTCTAATCCCACTACACCAATCTAAGCACAAGAAACTGTGAAGTATCACTAACCAATAAATGGCCTAACAAATAAGTGTTTTTGTCGTGTAACTGAGTTCCAAATGATGTAGTAAATTTTAGTTTTAAAGAAGTGTAAAGTATACTTTCAACTATTTTTTGAGCAGGATTTTTTCCTGACAGAGAAATTTTTATTTCTCAAAGTAAATATTTCCTTAAGGTGCTGATAACTGCGTTGTAAGTGTATTTTACAAGTTTTCTCTTCCTTCTTTGATGTTTGCATTCACAGTGTTTGTTGTGTTCATACAGCTACTCACTAACCTTATATTAAAGCAGACAAGTTTTTTTATTTTTCTGAAAGTATTTTGTGTGATTTAAACAGATTAAATATTTCAGTAAATTTGTCGAACTGATGAATTTACAGAACGTAGATGTTAATTAAAGCACAAAAAAGAAGTGTGGTTCAAAGAATCTTATTTCTGCTTTCTTTTTCATAACCAGCAGAATAAAAATAAATTAACTTATTGAAAAGTGAAAGTTTTACTTACAGCTGAAACAAATATAGGGTAATTCTTTACAAAACAAAACCACTTACATTACTGATTGTTTTATGTAAACAATTTGTTATTTTGATCATAATCTTGAATGCATTTTCATGGGCTTTTAACAAATTCTTTCATTCTTACTTAGTGTAATGTAATTTCTTTTTCTTAAGCTAATTAAATCCAATATCGAGGTTTTTCTCCTTGTGATAAATTAGATAATTCAGTTGTCATTAATTTCACAATTTGTGGTGATGTGGCTGATTGATTCAAACAGTGGATTTGCATGCAAGGGATTCCTGAACATAATCCTATTTGGCTCTCTTTGGCTGCGAAGTTAAACTTTAAGCACCAGTAAGTACCAGTGAAGTGTGACCGCATCGATAGCCTTGAAACGCTCAGTGAGGATGTTGGTGTAACCTGATAAATGGTATTGTAATCATGAATAAAATATGCTTGATTTAGTGTTGTGTTATTAAATGGGATATCTGGCAAGTTTCAAGTTGGATTTGAGACGAATTAAGTGAAGATTTAGGCTAAGGAGAGGTCAGGGTTAGGTTCACCTAAGGAAGGCGACATTAGGGGGAGTTCGAGTTAGATTAGGTTTAGTTTAGGGATGATGAGTGTTACTACTAGTGTTAGGAGACTAGATAACTGCATGCTCAGAATGTGGTTAAATTACTCTGTTGATACTCTAATCCCAGACTGAGTAGTATTTCTGTCACACGTCATAGAGAGGTATCCTGTCTGTGTGACAGTTTCATGCCATTTAATCTATTACTTTCATGAACATATGTATTTTATACACCGAAATCACCTTTATCATGTGGTTGGTACGTTTAAGGACATTTGTCCATGCTTAAATGTTGACTTAACCGCTCTGACTTTAATACCACTTGTTTCCTCTCACTAATCAATTGTGTCTCTTAGAGTAATAACCAATAAGCTATTGTAGAGTACCTTAGTTACCTTAGTATTTACCATTTGGGCGCGGTATTTAAGAATAAGCAGCTGATAAAAAATACCGTGGTTGCAAAAAATGAATTATTATTATTATTACTGAAGATTGATATAGAATCACAGTATCCAACGAAATACATAGAATGTAAGAAGAAATAACATATTTTTTACATTTAAATTGAGTAGCTGGCTTTCAGGCTTCACTCAATATGTATAGATAACTTCTCCTTTTACTTCTTTTGAACTAATTACAACTTTCATGGTTTATTAATGTCTGCGTATATATATATATATATATATATATGTATATATATATATAAGCTTTCAGTCACTCCATTTTTGTCTGTCTGTTCGATGAATTTTTGCCAGAGTCTTTTTCCAGTGCATTGGTAGTTTGTCATAACATTCTTTGCATACCGGTTTCAAATCGATTTCATATAGTTTAGATCTGAACAGTGAATAAAAATCGCAGGTCCATTATCAGATAGAAAGTTTTGATTTTACTCAGCTTAAACGTAAGGAAAGCTAATGTGATGTCAAACACAGATCAATACATGAATTTTCCTTTTGAGTTTTATTCATTTAGATCTGCTGACATATTGTTAATTAGATAGCCAAATGTATTTCTGTCGTGTAGTCAAACTTTGTAAGAGTTAAAAAGAATTTTTCACATCTGAAATATCACATACTTACTATAGTAGCTTCTCAATAGCACTTTAGAGTTTAAATAATTGTTACAATGAAATAAATAATGTCAACTGAAAGTTACATCACACAACTAACATAATTCTTTGCTTTTTACTCATAAAAAGGGGACTTCACTACTTAGAATTCCACTGATTTGACGCGTTGCAGTGATGATTCAATTTTTGACACAGTAAATATTTCCGTTTATAAGAAACAGGCTTTAAGTATAAAATATGCTAACTTTAATGGCTCATTGCCATCAACTGAGTTAAAAATCTTATTTAATTTACTGTGCGAAAATGTCACAGCAATTAACGCAGACAATGTAATAAACAGGGGTTCTGGAAAAACTTCGAAACCTCTTCACTGAAACCGAATACACTTCAGTGTCCATTGGGAAAAGCATGTGGTTCAAACTAACCCAATGAAGGGTCTTCCACTTTCACATAGGATATATTGTTGCAAACCACTCTCACTTGCATCTAATAATTGACTGGTTCTTTTGGACTTGATTACATAGGTCGCAAAATGTGAATTCTGTCCAAAAATATTTTTGAACATTATCCTCTTTATTCGTCCAGGAGGATGAAAATTTAACCATTTAAGTTATTCCAAGAACGCTACCGAAGTATTTTGTTTGAAATTCTTTTCATAGTGAACTATAAAGCAAAGTGATTCATTCAAGAAAATTTTTAACTCACCACTTGATCATAATAGACGCTTTTGTAGTTTATCAGTTCAAACTTATTATATCTGTGTTTATTAGAAACACATCCAATCATTCACTATATAATGGTCATAACCATTCGTTTCATCGTTACCTCAATATAATTTTCTTATCCTGTAGAAGTTAATTTTCCCTTCCAAATTACTGTTTTACTTTCACCACCTTTTGTACTTCCTTCTAGATTACTCAGTGTTTACCTTCCGACTTTGAAAAAAATTTATTTAGCATTTCAACAATAATTTTGGAGTGGTGCTGATTTATAAGAGAATGATAAACATATTCACTTGCCGTAACACTGAACAGCAAAGTAGACATTTTGGAATCATTCACTGAAAACAGCTTTCTTTGACGAACGCTTTCTTTAGTACTTCGAAGAAACAGGGTCTTTTCATTTCTTAGATTGTCAGCTACAATTAATTGAACTTCTATCAATCTACTTAATCAACTTATTAAGTAGTATTCTGTCTTTAACAAAAATAATTTCCATCTTGAATAAGATATGATCAGAAAACGTCGAAAATTATGTTTGAGAATGTGCTTACTTTTCATCTAGTTTTCTGTCACATAATGAACACCGGAAGTGTTCAGGACAGTAGATTTTATTTGTGAATTTGGCCAATATACCAGTAACAGGCTTTGTACAAATATGACAAATACTTCCAATTTTAGACTGATAGTGGAGAAGACAATAAGCATGCCCTTGCCATTCATAAAAGCGGCTGCCCATAAACGGTATTTCACAGTGATGGCATACAAAATGTTCGACATGCCAAACTTTTCCAAGTGCCCAAACTATCCGTCCTCCTATTGGACGTCTGGATCATAGAAATTGAATATGAGCAATGAAACGTAAAAACGTCTAATTACATAAGTCGATAACAATACATATATTCAAAACTTTATGAAGTTTATCGGTAATCCAAGATAATATCATCTTATAACCTATTCTACAACAGCCTAAACCTGAAAGTGATCCGCATGTTACATCCTTCTTCCAACGCATCTGCTAGGTATGCATTCAACTCCCGTTTGACATAGAAGTAGCGACAACAAGTCTTTCATTTACATAGTGACCGACCTTCAAGAATACAATATCATTCTCGAGGTGAAACCTAGTTCTTTAAAAGGCATATATTTCATTTATTGGGCAAGAAAAATTCTTTATATGCACAAGTACACAATATCTTAATCCCACCAAGTATCTTATTAACTCGGGTAGTCTGCAGTTCTCTCTTTGGTTTTCCTGTATTCAGGACTCCAGACAAGGTCTTGTGACTATTTATTTATTCTGTCATTTTATTTAAATGCTATTCCCTCTTCTAAATTAGAAACAGTCTAACTGAAGATAATCTTGAAATTTGCGTCTTACACATGCAGATTAAATATACGAAATTAATAGTTATGGGTTTAGAGGAAGTTACATATTTTATTATTTTCTTGTTGTACTGATGGAACAAAAGATTTAAGATGTTCTTTTCCTTGGGAAATGAATCAAAATTAATAATTCTCTGCTTCGGTTGTTTATGTAGATTGATCTGCTGCTTTACAATTTCTTTATGTTTATAACCGCCATATCATGTAATCGGTTATTTTTTATGACCTTATGCATTAGTTTATTGCTTCACATCTGTCATATTCAATCTCCGTTTACCTGCAACCATGGCTGTGGTAACATTTTTGTATATCTTAAATTAACTATTGCAAGTGGCTCGGTTTTCATAAATTTATAATGGTACAACCTACAGAGGAAGTTTATTTCTACCCATAAAATAGCTTTATAAATATAAAATTAGGTTAATTACACTATGTAAAAATGACTTTAAAGTTCAGCGCACATCAAACAGCAACAGGGATTATTTTGCATATTGTTGAATAAATAGAATGGACCTTCTTGGCATTTCCATAAGTGACAGTGGTTAGCTGTAATGGCGCAGCAACACTTTCTTTGATATCAGTGTTACTGATTACATATGTGTTGCTTAGAATTCTCCAATATAATGAGAGTTCTGTTGCAATCGGTTTTATGTTTAATTTTTATTGAATATTCACTATTATAATTGTCTTTCAATCCGTGATTGAACATTGGTTTTAAAGTGTTATGTTTTTAATTGGGTGCCTTTTCCTGTAACGTCGTTATTTATTTATTTATTGGTAAATGCAGTATTTAGCGCCTTAAACAGGGTGAAGACACAGTTGAAATTTAGTGTAGAACGTAGAAGTGAAGTATGAATTCAAAACACCTGTTAAGACCAAAAGAGAATCGTTATGGTCTGAATGCAGGGAACCGATCTCTGCGTCCTTCTGTATATCTGATGATTACAGTCAAAAAAACACTAAAAAGATAGCAAAACGACGATCACTTGCTGTTGGTATCTATATGTGTTCTATTTAATAATAATAATAGGAAAAACTCAAAATTACCTCAAAAGTCCAGTGAGGCAGCTGTACAGACAAGGTAAGGTTCTAAGTACAAAATGAGTACTATAGAAAAAAAATGGTTAACTAAAATTCAACTGTAAGAAGTACCGTAGAATCAAGTAGAATATTCCCCCAAAAGGTGGGATCATAACTCTATCCACCAGGACTACACACCAACGATTTCCGCACACAGTCCAAAGTCAGAATTACTTTCATTCATCCAAACAAAATCACGTCGTTAAACAACATATTACCAACGTATCACACAACCACAAACAGAAGCATTAAAATCAAGGATTCAATAGGGCTAGAGACAAATGACAAGAATCAAGTCAATATATGATATGCAGATGTTAGAACGGTGGTATTCAGCATAGGATAAAAACGGATAATAATTACAAAATTAGTCGACCTATCCAAATAAGTTTGAGTATTTTGATTAGCTTACTCAGTAGGGATTTCTCAAAGAATTCTTCCATTTCAATAAAGTCATAGCAAGCAGAGCTAAGCTAATAGCGTCAATTTTCCCTAATTATAAATTCAAGACCACTTAGCGAAACTTCGGGTTTATTTTCAGTAAGTTTCCACCTTAAATATTTCACAATGAGCGAAAGTGTATAGATTCTGGTTTTCTGTAGGGATATTCCACCCACATAACCACACACCCATAGCTTGTCTCAGGGAAATGCTGTTCAATAACTTCATTTAACTTATATTCAGAAGAATAAGAAGCTATGAAAGGTGAAAATCTTAAAAGAGATATATAGGTTACTAAAGAAACTATTAGCGTGTGTTTCTTAATGACCATATGTGTTTCTATGTCATTACCAATGTGCCACAGCTTCCCAGATATTCTATGACGGAATGAAAATAATTTATCATTCTGAAACCTAATTGTTGCCTGCAAAGCCGACTTGTACAGTGAGTGAAAAGCAGTATAATACTGATTTGTTAGTCATGTAATAAAAAACGCTTTCGAAATTTGACAGAATTTCAGTTCCAGTTGAGATTGGTTGACATGAATGAGAAATTTGGTGGTTAGTTACATTTCCTGTCCCAAAGTATTCTTTGTTTCTAGTGAATAGAAACGACATATAGGAAAAACTGGGTTAAACAGCATAAATCTTTTATTCCTGAATGAAAACCAATCAGGTTGATAAGGTAGTTTATAGAGCACAGATTCTGAGTAAGATCAGTATTTATTCTATGAACTTGGGGATCATACTTAGCTACACTTTTTCTTGTTAAGAATTCGAAATTTGCTTAATGCTTAATTTTATTATAAATTGTATACAGGTGCTGAATGAAGGTCACAGAAGTTTGCTGAATTGCTTTCTCTGGCTGCATGCGGATGCTTATACCAGGAAGCATAACGTAAGCATGTGTTCATAGATGAAATGCCATTAAACTGGAAAGCAGGTTGAAACCATATATGGGAAATTCATGCAGCAGTTTGCAAGTCATGTTCAACTGAGAAAATGTAACACTTCATCAGTTGCGGTTTTTATATTGTTGAAATGTATTTCTAACGTTGATTTTATTGTTAATGAACTCCTTCATTTCTTGTCCCGTGGAGAAACCGACTTATATATGTGAAAATAATTAATTCGTGTTGAATTGGTTAGCTAACCATATCGAATCATTTGAGTTTGACAATGACATCCTAATGTGGCTTACTATACAAAACGTTTGAATTTAATTCGAATGTGCAAAATTTAGGACGCGCCTTACACACCTGTTTCCTATGGTTTATAAAATGCAAATAAGACTGCAAATATTTACTGATGAAGATGCCAATTCATAAAAAAATTTTAAGGGCTTTTAAAACGTTTGATTAGTAGACGTTTTTAAAGTCGCTGATGTAGCATCTACTAACCTGCATGCGGAGCATATTGGTATACCCGATCGACCGAAACATCTTAAGCAATACAGTTCACCTCCACGTTCATGTGCATCTGGACCGAGTTCTTCTTTGCAGTCGAAACAGTGGAAATGATGTGGGTGATGGAAATCTCCCATGTACTTGATATGCTTGTCAACTTCAATTGGTTTGTTACAAGTTTGACAGATATGACATCCCACCAACTCTTGACATACAACAGGCCAGCAGTCTTTACATAAAATCCTGTCAACAGCAGATCGCAAAGGGTAAGACTAATGTGTTAACTGTGTCGGAGTTGGGATCAATATTCAGTGAAAAATAAACAAGGTTAAGCGGAACTTAAAAAAACTGCTATTACTAACTACTATGTCATTTGTGCATCTATGAAATGGAAGAAATAATGTAACAGTCGTAATCCTCTAGCTAATTACGCTTCTAGCTTCAAATCATTTCTAAGCTGCCGATTAGGTTAATTGGATGATATTTCTAAAGCATACGATGAAATACAAATAAATTAATAAAAAAATCAAGGTATGAAAGTGAATTCGTCTGCAACAATAGTTCTAGTAGTCGTTTGATACTTCCAAGGCATCCAAACTTAACGTTTCTACAACAGCTCGTTAGTGATCCTGACTACTGAAAACAGCATTTGCATAACTTTCAATACAAATGGTGAAAGAAAATTCTTCATTTATACAAGAACTAGAATTTTTATTTCTCCTTAAGCATTTGTGATGTCCATAGATATATTTATCCTTTTTCTTCATAAAGTAAACATCTGTACAGACTGTCAAGGTTCTGCATATTAAGTCACATGAGTTTTTCTATATGAAGTGAATTCGGTGCTTTTCACTTAATTGCACCGGAAATATACAATTAAAATTTATTAGTGTCATTTATCATACAGTTAATCTAGTTACAATGCATATTAGGATAAAACTTGGGCACTGTGGTAGAGCATAACTCTATTAGGGATAAAATTTTATTTTGCTAAAGTTACACAGTGTTATACAGTAATATTAACTGATGACGTTTCGAGCACAAACTATTGCTCATAATCATATCAAGTTACTCACATAACTTTTTTCCTTCATTTATATACATGTGTGGAATTGACTAGATATTTGAATAAAAATCAAACAGGATAATGTACATTCAGAAATCATAATACGAGCGTTATTGATCAATTACAATCAGATGGGAAATAAGACGACTACTTTTTGTAGTCATAATAAGTAACTTGTTAGAATGTTGTGATGTGTTCGAATTGAAATAGAATTTTGAGAATATTCATTATTCTCCTCTGATTTGACTGTTGGTAATAATATCTTCCAAATCTCTGGTATTTACATTGAGTCATTTCTGTTGCATGTGTTGGATGTAGACTCAATGAACCAGGGTTCAGTAATCCATCTCTCTCTCCACCTACATAGATTACTTCTTAGAATTTTAACCCTCTCCCACCCTATTGTGTGGTTGTGTGTTAATGCATGCATGCAGTGCGATTGCTGAGCTTTTTTCTAAATTACTCATCTTCTCGGGGTCAACCATTCTTACCTTAGCTAAATTCTTATGTTCCGCCAATCTGATTACCCCCGATTTACTAGTTTGACCTATGCAGTTGACCTCACAGTCATTGCTAGGTGTTTTGTAAATTATATTATTTTGTTTAATTGGGTCCAACGGGTCCTTTAACCTACAAAGTTTGTCTCTGAGTGAGTTTGTTGGTTTAAATGCCACCCTAATTCCTGCTTTATTGAGAATCCTACGTAGGGTCTCAGATGTCCCCTCCTTATATGGTATAACAGTAGATGCCTTATATTCTCTCTTATTTATCTTATCATTACTAGCTTCACAATTATTTTTAATCTGCTTTTGGCCTTTTTCGATCTTCCTAATGAATTTTATAGGATAGTTATTTAGAACCAACGCCTCTTCTATCTGTTTTATTTCATCATTTAGATCTTTCTTGTGCTACTGCTCGGTTTGTTAGACACTTAACTAGGCCTGCCTTAACAGTTAAAGGATGAGATGAATTTAAGTCTAAATATCTATTAGAATGCATTGGCTTTTTATAAACGCTAGTGTGTAGTTTACCTTCTTCTATTCGTTTTATTTTACAATCTAGCATAGCTAATTCTCCTTGTTCATTTTCTGATTCAAATGTGAATTTTATTCCCTCTATGATTACGAGCAACAGTTTGTGCTCGAAACGTCATCAGTTAATATTACTGTATAACACTGTGTGACGATAGCTTAACGATGAGTTGTTATTTTACGTAGTGTATTTTACTGACTTCAGAATTAGCATCTCTTGCAGACAAGCACTCTTTGGAGAATAAATTGGACTGCAAACTAATTATCACGCTTATATTACAAACCGTAATGATGAGACGTTGAGAGGATGTCAGACAAAGTTCACAATATACAGAGTAGCTTCGTGCAAGGTTTTACTATACAGTCACTGAGTCGTAACATAAAATATTCAGTCCACTGTAAAAAGATATGTGGATAGCTTTAGTGTACTTATCCATCACTGGTAATAACCAGTGCCACAATGTCTATTTTCAAAGCCTGACTGGAATTTACAGATCGTGTTTCTTATGATTCTGCAGTATGGCATATCTGCAGTGCTGAATAAAACAATACACGCACGCTACGGAGACTAACACTGTAATATAGGTTGTTAATTTATTCATCATATATATTAGTAAATACGGGTCTAAGTTCTGGTTCATTACTAACCATATGTGTGAAGTGATTACCAATATGTCTTAAACTGTCACAGTCATTTAATCAAAAACACCAACTGACTATGTGTTTTCAATTCTGTACAAATGAATTAAAATACTTTTATTTACAGGTAACGTATAACTCACCTACTTTTGTGTCGCTGAAAGCCTTTGCTAACAAGCTGAACTCCACATTCATCACAGATTAAACATTCTGGATGCCAACTTCGACTCACCGCTTTCACAACTTTTGACATTATAAATTCACCTGGAAAGGTAATTCAGAAAGTAAGTAAGTAGGTAGATAAGGTAGGTATGAAATATTTTTATCACCTGATTCTTTTAAAAATGTATCCCTTTTATAATAAGGCTGATAGTTTAAGAAAAGGGAATGAAATTTGTCTCAGGTTTGTTTATTGCTTAATCCATGATAAATGTATGCTGAAAAGAATAAATTATAAAGTGAATATGTTTACTGAATCTAAACATAACTGGTCGTTTACTTAGCTTGTCTTCATGAATATTTTACTTTTTGTTCAGTATTTAAAGTACTCTTCACTAAACAAGAAGAAAAAAGCCTTGGTATATGTCTAAGTAGAGAGGTATATTGAATAAAGTTTATGGTAATGTGATGAATTATCGTGGGGAAATCTTCTCATTATTATATTATTTATTGTTCCCTTGGGTTCTAGTGAGACACGGAAACTCAACAGCATATCTCCACATTCCTATTTAGCTGACCGCCCGTTTACCCATAGTCCCTCATCTCCTCTTGCAAGATCGCTTCCATATCACACTCAGACTTTCAACACCTTGTTTCTCAATCGGATTCCACTCAAGGGCCTGGCGAGCAATGTCATCCAACGGTCTCCTCGGAGTATGCCCAATCAATCTCCATTTTCTTCTGTATATTTGTTAAGCAACAGGTTCTTGATTGGTTTGTTGCTAGAGTTTCCTTTTGTTGATTCTTTCCGGCTGTTTAATCTTCAATATGGATCCAGTGAAGGCAGCTGTTGATAAAAATCTGTACTGACCGGTTGGAAATGCTTCTGGTGACAAGCCTGCCAAGTTCCCGACCTATATAGAAGAACTGACTGGCTTAACATTTGTGTTAAAAATCGGAATCTTGTTCTTTATAGTGAGTGCAGATTTTCAATCTTCTAGAGAATCTTTTTCGGTCAAACGTATTCCTGTATTCCTGCTCCCGACGCAAGGTGTGCCACATAATCCATTCCCCTACAATTAGGGATATCATTAGTGATATTGGGCAGTCTTATCTTACTCCTGTCTCCACTCCAATATCTTGGCTGAGTTTTCTGTTATAAATCATCTGACGCGTGACACTGTCATATAGGTGTTGAATGAGTTTTATGAACATTTGGGGCACGCCATAGTGTTGCAGTAGTTTCTAAATTACTTCATGGTCAACAGTATCGAGGTATTTTCAAAATCAGTGAAACTGAGGAAGAGGGAAATCTTTTATCATAGGCGAATAAGGTCTAGCAACTTGAATATAATAATCACTGCACTCAATAAATAAATCTTTAAAATGCTTTCAAGAGTTTCATTGATGCCAGTACTGCTAAGTTTTTAGTGCGTTTGACTGATTTCAGTTTTTAATGAAATCTTCTATGAAATCAGTTAAATTCCCCAAAACGAACACTTGAAAATTAATCCACTGATCGTTGGTGACTGATAACAGAATGAATTCCGGTGTCCAAGTTATAAGTCATAGGTAGTGCGGTTTGTTTTAAGGAAAAATACTCATCTGTGACACTGGTTGGAAGTTGAAATTCATGAACAGTTGGATTCCATTCCAATGGCTGAGTGACAAGGTGCTTGTCCTAGTTTCAAACTGTAGTGCGTCAGTTGGTACTTACTACTGAAAAGTTTGAAAACGGACCAAAACGGCTGTCGAGTCCTTCTTGGATTTCAATAATTCTTTAACTGAAATCAGTTCGAGATTAAATCCGCCTTGGAATCTGAATGACTCTTTAAATGACTGCATTGTGGATGCTAAAAAGCACAAAGTGAACGTTCACTTTAAACCATGGAGGCAGAATTATTTGAATATTCTTTTACCTAATTTGTATGAACCAGTGTCTGGATACGTACACTTGACAAAATCGTGCGTAGTGTCTGACACAGCCTTTCAGTTTTAAAGTATTGGTTTGGTAGGGATTTTGTTTAATTGTATGGAGGATTTCATCATGAGCTGACATCAGTTAGAGAACCACTGGAAAACCTGGGAGTACTGGACAGCTGTTTCGTGCTAGTTTGGGACTCTTCAGCAGTACGCGCCCACCCGGGATTCGAACCCAGGACCTTCTGGTTACAAGGCGAGCTCGTAGACCATTGAGCCACTGGGACCCGATCCAATGGTCCTTGAATTCTAACTTCTGCCAATTCACGACATAGCGCGACCATTTCGCAATGTCTTCTTAGATGAGTTACTGTCACATCTTCAACCTGCTGTACCCTACTGGTCACGGCTTCCCACTAAAACCCCAGGTTAACTGCCTGAATAGGGCCAGTCACTAGTGAGCATCAGATTAATTTTCAAGTATTGGTTTGGTAGGGATTTTGTTCAATTGTATGGAGGATTTCAGTTTTAGATTCAAAACGCTATAACGAAGATTATGTCATCCATAGTCTACTCTTAAGCTTCTGAGGTTAAAAAGGGTATAACTGGGCAAAATACACAGGAAACAGTGATTAGTGTAATTACAAACAGTTTAAATAAAAACTGAAAAGACCAGCAAAATTCTTGTGAGATGAGAAATAAGCTACAGTGGGCTGATAAATAATGAAAGTGAGTCAATTTCATTTCCGTGGACACTTTTATCATTACCTAAACTGACAGTCATATACAATATGTTCTTTTGTCTGTCATTCTTAATATTTATTTCCATACTAAGCCTTCGAGAATATTGTTTGAAAACTCCCTAAATCTGTCTTCAATGTCCGGGTTTCGTGGTTCAGGCCACATACCCTAATATTTCTAGGGAATGACCGACAACAAAATAATCAAAAGACGTACAAGCTGGTAACTGCATCATTTACACCTTCCATAATAAGTGATTCACTCATAAACCATGGCTTTTAACATGGCATTTAAAGTTAGTCAAATCTGTCTCTCTACATTACAGATATTCGTAGCTTACAAATGTCTATTACAATAGGTAGGTGGGCTTGTCTCATCAACTGACAAGGCAAGATTCGTGATATCGCCTTCGTTTTATTCCGAAAGTTTTCAATTACACCCTCTATTATTGTCAAGTCAACGAACTTAATATAACTGAAACTATTATGGGTAAATTTTATTTTGATAGAGTCTCACAGTGTTATACAGTAATATTTACTGATGACGTTTCGAGCACAATTTATTGCTCATAATCATATCAAGTTAATCACACGACTTCCTAAATTCATTTATATAGTTCCATTGTTTTTCACTTGATTTGATTGGTAGTATTATTTTCCATATTTCAGGTATGAGTGATGATTCATTTCTATTGCATGTGTTGGGTGTAGATTCGATGAACAAAGATTCAGTAATCAACCTCTCTCTCCACCTACCTAGATTGCTTTTTAGAATTTTAACCCTCTCCCACCCTATTGTGTGGTTGTGTGTTAATGCATGCATTGCAATTGCCGAGCTTTTCTCTAAATTACTTATCTTCTCTGGGTCAACCATTCTAACCTTAGCTAAATTCTTATGTTCTGATAATCTGACTACCCCTGACCTACTAGTTTGACCTATGTAGTTGTAGTAGTAGGTAGTAGGTCAGGGGTAGTCAGATTATCAGAACATAAGAATTTAGCTAAGGTAAGAATGGTTGACCCAGAGAAGATAAGTAATTTAGAGAAAAGCTCGGCAATTGCAATGCATGCATTAACACACAACCACACAATAGGGTGGGAGAGGGTTAAAATTCTAAAAAGCAATCTAGGTAGGTGGAGAGAGAGGTTGATTACTGAATCTTTGTTCATCGAATCTACACCCAACACATGCAATAGAAATGAATCATCACTCATACCTGAAATATGGAAAATAATACTACCAATCAAATCAAGTGAAAAACAATGGAACTATATAAATGAATTTAGGAAGTCGTGTGATTAACTTGATATGATTATGAGCAATAAATTGTGCTCGAAACGTCATCAGTAAATATTACTGTATAACACTGTGAGACTCTATCAAAATAAAATTTACCCATAATGGAATTATACTCTACCACAGTGCCCAAGTTTTTATTCTTATATCAATAACTGAAACTATTTTATTACTTTCTGATCAGTCCTAGTTATATTTATTCAACTTCGTATTTACAATTCAGGTGTACCACAATTTATCTTAGGAAAAGAGATACCATGGCCAGTTTCATGTGAATTCAGTTTGGAGGATTCTTTAATTTTTTATAGACCTTGAAATATCACTTTCATGAACAGGCAAGGACAACATGATTTTAGAATGAGTTTAAGGTTGGATAGTCATTGTTCATTTAGATATTGCTTCACAGATAATAAGACCAGGAATCCATTAGTCTCAGAAAAGAGATTTCACTAAACAATAGTCTCCTTTGTTAGTTGCCTCCGGTTTTACACACCAAGAACTGAAGCATACGCTTATCACTCTGTTTTTGGGGTACAATTCATACCAGGCATTCTGTGTGCTATTAATTCTTTGTTCGACAATAACATACAATGTTGCTGCTAGTGGTAAGGTAGACTGATACTCATCGCTTTTTTGTTTTTAGTTCAATATACAGTGAATACGAAGGGCTTAGCTCATTTTTGCGAACTGGTGATAAAGTATACGGAGATAATTATAAACAGGTGGACACTACAGAATACATAGCAGTCAAATAGTTGGCAACAAAACAGTTAGCTATTTTATTAGTAGTAAGACAAACAGTGTTTAAAGGATGATGATGCTTCAAAGCTATAAGCTTTATGTCTTAGTTTATGCAGTAATGGAAGAGATAGAGCTGGTTAGATCACATGATTCTTGAAAATGCATATGCCTTATAACTTCAGCCTATTTTCCTTTTCACCACATTGATAGCTGTGATAAGCATAACTGCAGATGAATTTTGAACTTCAAGCGGCTCCTTTCGGTAAGTGATGAGTTGGAGAAGAGCTATATCAAAAACTGGAGCATGATAAAACTAAGTTATTCTTTTTTGTAAAAAGTGAATCTGTTTTATCCCGCTCAGCCATCGTTGTTGTTCTCTTCACGTCTTTAAAAGAAAATCTTTGCATGATCTTATGTTATAATTAGTAAATTTATCAAACATTTTGTGAAACTGACATGTATGCAAAACATGGACCCTGTAGTAGTATGTGATTCCATATTAATTTGTTAGGCAGTGTTATTTACTGGATGACATTTCAAATACAATTTATTGTTCATAATCATATCATTCATAACTAGACAACTTCGAAACTTGAGTTTTATGGTTCTCTTCACCCACTTTATAACGAATTGTAAGGGAACAAATAGAGAAAGAAACTTCCATCCAAAATGACTACGCACCAAGGTTTATTGACAGTAATATCAAACCAAAAGTGCAGAGGAACAAAACATTACTCGTTCCAAAAAAGCAACTTTACATGAACCAAGACGTTAAGGAAGACTTAACCTACGATATCCTTAAGAAGAGAATTTCAGCATCTTTAAGAAAAACATTATTCTCAGCAATACACTGGTTTTCATAAGCCTCCCACCTAACCACATCTGTTTGCATACATCAGTTCGCCTGCTGCTGTGGAGCCAGGCACGCATATCCTGTCTAAAAGGGTTCCAAAACACTATCCCGCATGGTCGCAGAAAGGTAGTAGGGGCTGTATAAGGAGTGTGACAATCGAACACCCTGTCAATTCTGGTCACTCCATCTCACTAAACGCCTCCTTCAAAGTAATCTACACAGTGAAGCATAACCTACCACAGGCAATAAGCTTTCGTCTTCTTTTCATTGCTGAAGCCTTAGTCATTCAGCTAGAGAAGCCAGAGCCATGCATATAAGAGAAAATTATTCAACCACTCCTACTATCACAGTGAGAAACTTGCCGATTTCTACTGACTTGAATTCAGTTTGTTTGTTTTTCTAACTCCTCATAACTCCGACATTTCCTCAGAACTCTTAAGTAAATCCATAATATCCTGCTTTTCTGCGTGCATCCTTATCACAACTCGCCGATTAGATTATTCATCTTGTTACGTAACTCCTATGCCCTTATTCAACATGTTTCATGCACTGACTAAGACTAACAACTATGCTTGTAACAACTCACCACTTTTTTATTACGCCCTTCCATGGAAAAAATCGTATTTAAATGCGAATGTACAGCTAAAGAAAATGAATCCGGCTAAAAGAGACTCTTCGCCAAACTATGTGTTTCCTTTTCATCAGGAACTATAAAACCCAGGTTTTGAAGTTGTATAGTTGTAATTGACATGATTATGATCAAAAACATGTGTTCGAAACATCAACTATCAAATAATACTGTTTGACTATGGGTAGTATCCAATAAACAAATTAATGCATGATTTTGTGAGATTCTTATAAACGCTACATAGCAACAAACGGTAGCCCTGCAGTTCAATTTCTTGTTTGAAAACTAGTGACATTATCGGGTTTCCAGTTATTCCTTACCTAAAAAGGTTCTGAATGCATTACACACAGGTAAGTACATTATAAAAATCAGTAATAAACAACTATAATCCTATTCATCTGCAGCTTTTATGCACGAGAACAAGGGGGTTGTAACTTGAGTAGGTACATAAATCCTTAATATTTGCTACGAAATTGCCAATGAACCATAGTTTCAGATACCTTTCATGACGTTAACTATAAATCATGTCAGCGTAACAATTCAGATTCTGAGTTTGTAAAGATTTTGATTAATTTTAATTCAAATATAGTCAGGAGGTGATGTCCAATAGGGAATTATTGAAAACCAAAGGAAATAGAACGGCTGTCTTGTCTGAGCATAGGACTCTTCAGGAATGCGCAATCATTAACCCTTCAGAGATCGAACCTAACACCTTGAGGTTATAGAGCAAAGCCATTAACTATTCTGCCAAAATTATGATTTACAGTTAAGGCTCCAAAGTACAGTATTTTTTGAAAAATATTCGTAAAGATGTGTTTTCTCGTCTCCTACGATTGTACTCACCGCATTTAAAACAGAAAGGTGCAAATAATACTTGAAAATCATATTTGCAGTACCTACGACCCTCGAACTGAAAAGAAAAGGAAAAAAATTAGTTGTTAAAATGGAGTAAAAGTGCATAAGAAACGTTTTATTATATTTACACTTCATATTTCTGTGATTATGTTTACCTATAAGAATCTTGTTTGACCTATAAGTCAACAGTCTTAGTTTAATGCAGAACTTGAGAACTGACCTAAGGGGAACGTTAAAATGACACATAAAAAGCAAACCGATCAAACTAATTACAGGGAATCAAAAGTATCCAAGAAACTATTTTCATGGAAGAAATTCTGAAGAAGTTTATAGATTAAACATGCCATTCAGTTCATGCATTTTGTGGTTAGAAGAATCATTTGTTTACGGTTCATATTTCATTTGGATTTAAATGTTTGGGCTATGTATCTCATTTATTCAACTTTATACAATTTATAGAAAGCAGTAATAGTAGATCCGTTGATTCATACAATAAATTTCTTATAAATGATGTGATTAGTCAAATTTTCTCGTGTGATTCTCAATAATTATGAAAACAACAGGAAAGAATTCTCGTAAAACACTCACTGTTAGCAGTATGCATACCACATGTGCGTTTACATTGTGGGTATGTTATCTGTTTCGAAATTTACATTCTAAAGCATATCCAGAGATTTACACAGCAATAATATAGCTAGCGAATTAACATTTGATGTAATTACATTCGGATTAAGATATGGATGGGATTTCAGACCCATGTGACACTGACGGTGACATTATATTAATATTCCTGAATAGTTTCATTTACCTAGGAAAGTAATAATTAAATGATTGTTGAGGTGCCACAAAGCCTTTACATGCCTTTCCATTGAAACAGGCTGCAACTCAGCCACAATTTCATTTATTTGCAAATTTTGATAATACATATTTAATTTAGAAAATTTCAGTATAATTCAAATTTCACTTTTCATATTCATCAAAAATACACAATTTTTATATTTCTATCTCCTCTTGGTAGACAAACTCAAACATTCTTGAGTTTACCTTGATGTCGTTAGGTTGCTCCAAAATCTGGTTTTGGGTAATCCAAATCGGTCAAAACTTCTTATTAAAGAAACTCTGATAGTGATACTGCATAAGAAGCTATATACAGATAATGTCACTTTAGCAGCCTATGCAGTAGTGGAAATGTGATAAACTGAGAACGTCCGAATCACATACTTACTAACCGGTTGGTAGTCAGATATTGTGGTTGCATTCCCCTCTGTTCTCTAATAGTTATCACTATGAGGGTAATTAAATATGAAGATATTCTAATCCATATTTAAAAGAAATGGTAATAACGGTTAATTATTTATGATTAACTTTGACCACATTACTAGGTGCATACGGACGTCATAATTTGATCAGTCTGCTTAAGTGAGCTTCATTCATAGCAGGGTTTCGATAAAGAGCGAAGTAGAAATATAGTAACAGAGAAACTTCACCGTTATAAACAGGATTTGTCTAAATATGTCAAGTATACGTTAATTATATACTAGTATTCCACTATCAGTATGACAATTACTTCTATATTAGTTCCTTTACTAGATCTACTACAAGCTGAAGCAAGATTATTCACTCAGAACAGAAATTTATCTTTTCAGAATGTTCAAGGCGGTTAACAGCTGCTAACTCACCCATTCTTTAACTATCAGTAATGAATTGTATTAAAGCACTTATCAAGTCAATAGTACTGTTTCACAGTGTGATATGTCTTAGAAATCAGAGCAGTGTGGAATCATGCGCTATCACCCTGCCAAGACTATATCCTTATGTAACTATAAGGGATGTAGTACTTGAGACACTTTTATCTCAAGTTACAAGACACTAAATGGCGGGTAAACCTTTAAACAAATTGTTTTCAGTTCGTTTTATCGACTCATATTTTCATACAGAGTGGTTATGCAACCTAATCCACGATTCCATGGAAATGTGCTGAATTTGACTTTCTCTGAAGGTGCTAAATGATTTTCTTGGAAATCTTAATTATTTGATCATTGAGGAGTAAGTCAAAATATCATTAGAAATGTGATGCAGTTGAACAGTTATGTGGAAAGACCTTAACAAACATTCAGTATGTTCTTGATTGATTCACTGAATTTATTGTTAAATATATTTACTGATAAAGCTAATCTACTAATTTAAACGACAACTTACCTCATAAAACTCTTTGTTTGACAAAGGCTGGAAACATTGGGCACATCTTTGGCAGTACACCGAAAAAAACAAACGAAAAGCACAGAATGAGCAATAATTATAGATTTGAATGAGTTAATGACAAACTTTTAGCCTAATATGGTAAACTGACAATTTTCAGAAGTTGTATATCATTATGTATGACTCAACATGTTCAGTTGCTTGTTAAATTCATGCAGTGTAACGAAAATCTAGACAGCATCAGGATTTGCACGAGCAGCCTTCGAATTACTAGCACTGCACTATACCAGCTGATGTGATGTACGAGACTCTGCTATTAACCAGGTCTTCATTCCCACGAATTCACCACGGATTAACTTGTCGGAAATCAGGCCGCAACTAAGGGGCAGACCGAGAAATCAGCTGTTACTCTCAAGTATTTGTCCAGCTAAGGGGCTTAAGTAACGTGAAAAAAATTGAAAAATAATTTTCTGATGTTTTAATCTTTGACACATTCCTTATTTATGAATATGGACTTTGTGCATTTTCAGACACATATGTTAACCATTCATTGTCTGCTATTATTTGGTTATTACACGGTAGATTCCGTAGCGAATCGGTATTGGTTAAGAAATCATTGAAAAGTAAAGAACTGTAGAAAAACTATCTAGTCGTAGTTTTTCACTCCTCAGTAACAAGCATCCACCACGTAACTCAGTTATCAAAACTCACGATCTTTATCTTACTATTACCTCCACTCATGAATTCTGACTTCCTTCGGTTGGCGATAGCAGTGTAACAGTATTCAGATAATCGTTAGGCTAGTGTCTCCCCTATATTCATTAGTGTTTTACAGCAGTGAGATAATAGACAGTCTGGTTACATACAAAACCTTCATACATCTTAAAGACTAATTTACTGTTAGGTTTTATTGGAGGAGATCACAGACGAAAGCGACCAAGCGGTTGATATGTGCTGCGCTTTATTTCATCAAGAGGGATGTTTAAAATTTTTTCATCAAATTTAATCAACTAATTATTTTAACAGTATTTAATTTTTTGTCTCTATTAGAGTTATGATAAATAAAAATGTTTATTATCACTTGAAACTAGAATCAGTGTAACCGAATATTCTGCATCCTGCTTATGAGTGGATGACTATATGTTTGCTGGCAGGATTAAAGATAGTTCTCTTTATAATCTAGTAATGACTTCAGTTCCATTATTGTCATCTGTCAATCTAAAGTACTGGATTCGTGATGTATTCCGAATAAATATACTGTCAAATTCTCAAACGTAACAAGGACGAAATTGTTAACCAATCCTACAACGTCATACTCTTATCATTTGTCATTGGTGGAGTTTGTTACGGAATATGGTGAATGCCAAATGAAGCAAAATGAATGACAGGCAATCATGTTTTTGAAATTTTCATTCACAGACATACTTTTTAGATAATGGGAGACGTAGTCTCTTCACTATCTTTTGTCCTAGGTGAGGAATTTTGAATGAAACATGTAGTTGATTCAAAGTAGATTTACAAATACTATGCAAAATATGTTAGAGGTAATAATGTTCATTGCCTAGGAACATATGTAGTCCTGGAAGCTATAGGGAATGCTTAAAAGTTAAAAGTAAACTTAGCATGTTTCATTTACCACTATCTACTCATCATCACAGATAATTCACACATGCTCTGTAGTATCAGATGAGGAAGGAGTTTTTAAAAACTGTGACTTATTAATTGGCGGGCAAAGGTGTTAGTCAATGTTATACATTTCGTGTTGTTTGCATTTTCTGTTTTAACCCGTATTTTGATTGGACACTAGTAACTAGTGTGATGTGTCTAGTCCTTTCTTTGGTGCAGACTGAATTCTATTAGTCAGGTTTGAAATATCACAACTATTCTAGGTATCTCGCCATCACGGTACACACTGATTTGATGATATTAGATTATTGGAGGCAATCGGCCTCAGGAAGCCTTGCTTGACCTAGGTTTCGTGCTAGTTGGCACTCGTCAGTAAGGCGCAGCTGTTGACGAGTGCCAACTAGCACGAAACCTAGGTCAAGCAAGGCTTCCTGAGGCCGATTGCCTCCAACCATCTAATGACCCGTATTTTGACAAAAGAATTGTATTTAAAAATGAAAGGAAAATGCAGAGATCATTGGTATGAATCATGGCTGACTGAAAGTCTTCATCGCAGCCTCTATAATCACTGTGTTTAGCATGATAAAACTTTGATACAGTGAACGTACACAAAACACGTTGGATGATAGACTCCATCTCTCACGGAAACGATGTTTTCATCATGCGTAAATGGCTCTTCACATCGCTTACAATGAGATTCAATAAAATCCTGGTCACTATATGGAAGCAAAACAAATAAAGAAAAAGCGAAAAGCTTTAGTAATACTTACGGCGTATGCAATTATACTGTATTAGAAGATGAATGGAATCTAAATATCAAAGTGAGCTCGCTTTGTCCCAAAACTTTCCCTTCAATGATGAGAAATTACTTCTGTAAAATTATATATGTGAATTGACAAAAATGCACAACTAATACGGAACAAAAATAATATTGCTGTTTTAACATACTAGAAATGTTGTAAATCCAGAGAATTGAGATTAAAGGTTGCAGTATTAATGTTAAACTTAACAAAATGGATAGTATTATAAAAGTGAAAGCTAATCTTAATGCCTGCATTTTTAATTAAACCTGATGATCAAAATACTGAATATCCATATTTTCTATGAAAGCTTGAGATTTCAGCTTAAATGTGCTCTGAGCTTTGGGTAACATGAAAACTACCTTTTTAAACATTTTCTATTTTACTAAAATGTACACCGAAAAATTCTCTATTGCCATACTCAGTCATTCACTGGAAAATAAAATTAATTTTACTATTGTTCATTTGTTAGCTGTAAAAATTGATCAGCGGATATGTGATGGATAAACTGCCACTTTGAGCCACTTAAATGTGTGTTTATAAATAAACTATTGTATTTTCATTTTAGTGTTCTGTTGATTAATGTGGAAGAGAACATGACCCACATATACTTTGATAGGCGAAAAACGCATATAACCCAATTGCAGATTTGCGGTTTTAACACAAGCCAATGCCAAGTTTATGTCAAATAATTTAGCATAGTTTTAAATGTTTGTACTATGATATAAATTATCCTTTTCGGTAAAACTGGATGTCTTAAAGTGACACTGGTGAGCGTATACAATGATTCTGAATAAGCAATCTCTCCAGTATCACAGAACACCGCTTTTTTTGTGAAGACTGTCCACCAGGGTTTGATGCTGGTTGACTTTCCCTTTTATTTGAAATCCAATTACAGTGTACCTTAACACCCAGCAGTGTTTCCTTACACATTATCGCCTTAACTATTTATTGACTGTGATCAGAGAGCACAGTTGTATACTTTACGATATTCCCCATTAGAACAGTTATTGGTGAAGCCAATAATTTAACTTCAGCTGACTCTCCTCAATGATGAAGTTATTCCTTGTTAATAAATGCCACGAAGTGAGAAACATAAGTTAGATACGAATTTCATCTGACCGACAGCTTCTAGCATATAATACTTGTTATTATATCGAATGAAGCTGATACCATTACAAACAAAGAAAAAGGATGTTCGCAAATGACCCAAACCGATTACATATGCTCTTTGGGTGTAACCTCGGGCATAATGACAGAGATGAGACTCACTTTAACTGCGTCAACACTAGAATTAATTGATTTTCTTGAGGAAAATATAACAGTTATCATAGACAGTTATCACGAAAAGTGCCAGAGAATTCCTAGAAGCCTGGTACTCAAGCGAAAATGCAATTAACAAACACGTTAGTATAGATGAAATATACCAACTAATAAAAAGTAAATCAGGTGACCAGAAAGTTTAAAAATCCAAGTCAATAGAAAATGGTCAATACATATGTAAAGATAGTTACCAGGCGACGCAATTATATCACTCATGAAGAAATTTAAATCATTTCACTTTGTGCTAAATATGGCGCTGAAGATGTTGTCCAGAAGGACGACGAAAGCTTCGGAACTAAACCAACCAGCTCAGGGAACACTATTAATTGCAAAAGTTATCATAGACTGCCGTATTTACTATCACCAAGTAACTGAACAACTCGGCTGCATGCTTTTTGATGAAGCCATCGTTAAGAGATGGACGCAGTCCTAAATCATCTTTACTTACCTCCTGAACTGCAGACTCATTAATTCAATTCTTGCAAAATCGATTCATGCATATTATGCTATCAGTGATGCAGATAACACAAATCATTGTGTGCCAACAAATTTACAGAGGTGTCGTTCTATTTAAATTAAAATTAATCAGTTTACTGTATACAGAAAGTTTTTCAACTTTGCTACTATTTAGAAGATACAAATACTATGATTAGTTCAAATTCAGAACTATATCTATCTGCTTTTGTTTTAATTTCTATTGTTGCTCAGATGATTAAAAATAATCGATAAGTCAATCGATAAATTTTAGTAAAGCAAAAATGTTAACAAGAATTTTTCACATTATTTAACATTCATAGAGTTATCGCATTCTCTGTGAACAATAGACATAAGTAACCTAAACTGTGAATATAATATAGTGCATTAAAATACTTATCGAGTAAGAAGCTATCTAAAATACTGGTGTCTGTTATTCTTTCTTCTAACATTTTAAGAAGTTATAATTTGAAATAAGTGTAAACAGCTTCGCTTCAGACATGTTTTCTTTTACTCTAAAAATTCATAGTACAAATAAACACAAGTGAAGTGAAATAAGTACTTTTTAACAGAACTGATCTCATACACTTGAATAAATAATCATGTATTGGCAGCAACGAAAAAGCAAGCAGATGGAAATCTCAGCCTACACTCTGATTCCTCTCCACTATTATTTGTCTGTATTACTGGTTAAATTTACCTTGCTATTTTGCAGTCTGATTTTCCTACTCATTTTGTAGCGGTCCGTCCGTCACTGGATGATTCTTGAACAAGGTCATAATTAATGTATGCTATCAGGTTGTTTCTTACTAGTCCTCTCAAATAAGAACGTTTCATTTACTTGTCTTGCCTCAGTGGTTGGTTTATTGACGAGTGCTACAAAATGACAGGATTTGGCTGGTGTTCAATAGGAATAAGCTTTCTGGAGTTATAGTGAAGTATAATAGCCCATGACTTGCATCACTAATATCCATTTTTCAGTGGTATATGTGTAGCTTAAATAAGCATTCGTGGTTATTCCTTCAAGAAAACCATGTCAGTGGCGATTTGACTATATGATGTAAATGACCGTAGCAAGAACGGATTTTGTTACACACCTTGCGACTTGAACATGTTAAGTTTCCAAATCAATCCATTTATCATATTGTTCATTCAATACAGGCAAAAGTTCTGGGTAGATGGACCTTATTTGATAACTGATACAATGAACATAAAGGAAGCACATTTGTATGGACGCGAGTACTACGTGATGCTTTCTTCTGTATAACTCACCAAACTTTCACTAGTCACACAAGTCCTACAATTATCCCATTAATATCGAAAAGATCATCTGAACCATAGAAACGATGGTACTCAACAATACCGTCCGATAGCTATACAGTCTTAAAGTTTTTCAGGTACAAAATATGTACTGAGAATAAATGAGAATATTCCCAATAAATGGCATCAAAACGTCTTCGCCAAGAGTTCAGATTCAAGAAGTCAGCCCCTGGAGTGACGAAAACTCTCAGTCCTAAAATGACATTATCAACACCATCACACATCAGCAAAAAGTAAGAATTAATAGTAAGGATCAAGTCAAAATGTAAACGTTAAGACAATGATAAACAGATTAGGGCAAAAACGGTCGTAATGACACAATTAGTTGAAATATTAAAATGAGTATCAACAATGAAAATGGATTGTTCATATAGGGACTTTCAGATCGGTCACTCTACTAGGCGTGATAATTAGCATTGGAATCCATAGCGCAAGCTCATATTTCATAAGCTGGATGTACCAGGATCACACTGAGTGATAGTTTTCTTAACGAGACTCTAACGTTCATTTAGTTAGTTCAGTATGTAGTTTGAATTAACATGTAATTATTGTTTATCATATTCCAAAATATTTCTTCTTGTTATCTGGATTAACTTGAATAGTCTAATCAAGATGCATAGCAGTCAAATATGCACAACAGAACATATTCCTAAATGAATGCAGAAACACCTTAAGTGAGTAAATTCAATTATTGAAATTGAAAAATGCTTGTCTAAAATAACACGGCAGATGAAGCATCGGTAAAAATCCCAAGTTTTATTTGTGCACGAAGACTTAGAAAACGTAATGGTTCTTCGTAGTTAATTTTGCATACTTTTCTGGTCAACTTCAATGCAAGAAAACTTTTTGAAAATAAGTCCGCTGTCTTAGTTAATTCTCTTTTGCCCATTTATTGATTATACTGGCATGGAAAACATCCCCGTTTAGACATCTAGAAGACGAAAGGATTGAGCCAAGAAATATTTATTTCTCAGTTAGATTCCCATCTACGACTTTAATGTAATCTATGTAACATTTATAATAAAATACAAAACATTTGCCGGTTAATATAAGAATAAAACTTGGGCACTGTGGTAGAGTGTAATTCCATTATGGGTAAATTTTATTTTGATAGAGTCTCACAGTGTTATACAGTAATATTTACTGATGACGTTTCGAGCACAATTTATTGCTCATAATCATATCAAGTTAATCACACGACTTCCTAAATTCATTTATGTAGTTCCATTGTTTTTCACTTGATTTTCACTTGATTTGATTGGTAGTATTATTTTCCATATTTCAGGTATGAGTGATGATTCATTTCTATTGCATGTGTTGGGTGTAGATTCGATGAACAAAGATTCAGTAATCAACCTCTCTCTCCACCTACCTAGATTACTTTTTAGAATTTTAACCCTCTCCCACCCTATTGTGTGGTTGTGTGTTAATGCATGCATTGCAATTGCCGAGCTTTTTTCTAAATTACTTATCTTCTCTGGGTCAACCATTCTAACCTTAGCTAAATTCTTATGTTCTGATAATCTGACTACCCCTGACCTACTAGTTTGACCTATGTAGTTGACCTCACAGTCATTGCAGGGTATTTTGTAAATTATATTATTTTGTCTAATTGGGTCCACTGGGTCCTTTAACCTACAGAGCTTGTCCCTGAGTGAGTTTGTAGGTTTAAATGCCACCCTAATTCCTGCTTTATTTAGAATCCTACGTAGGGTCTCAGATGTCCCCTCTTTATATGGTATAACTGTAGATGACTTATATTCTCTCTTATTTATGTTATTATTACCAGTTTCACAATT